TAAGGACTCCTTAGTCCCCAAATATCAGCTATTAGAACTCAAAAGGAAATCATGTCCACTTTTCTGCTTCATCTGCTCCACTACATGTAATAAGAAATTAGGTTTATATTTTTTTCAATCACTGTATTTCAGTCTGAATCAGCATCTGTCATRATAAAAGAATAAACTATAAATAAATTCTGATAAAAGAAAAAGAAGTTTTTATCAAGTTGATATTACTAATGAAAAACCCAAAGAAGATACTAGGGCTGTTTTTCACACTTAAGAACTTTTTGAGTCCCCAAAAGAGGAGATACTAGACAACCAAGCTGAGCCAAACCAGATTTCATCAGAAGTCAGCACAGATTGCAAACTTGCAAAAAACATTTTGGAGTATTTTTTTAGCATAGATTGCAGGCTTCTAAATTTAAAACAAACAAATAAAAAAAATAGAAGGATCAAATAGTTTAGCTATGCAAATCTATAAAATACATTTTAAGAATCTCAGTCAGGCGCTGTATTTAGCTATTTAAGCATGAATTTAGAATTTCAAACTGTTACCTGCTAATCAAGTATTTGTCTCATCAAAGGTGYCCTTATGTCACTTTACTTAGGAAGAAAGCAAATACAATGCTATTCCACTTGTAGTAGGGTCAGTTCAGCTTTGCTGTCTCCATTAGAGAGCAGCAGAACTGCATTCGAGCTAACACATTTAGCTCCTTCATTAGAAACAAAATTCAATGTAGGAAAAGAAACAGAATTACATTTAATCCTGTTTTTACAGATCACATTAAAAAAAAAAAAGAGGTATAAATGTCAGTTAAAGAGAAAAGGAAAGACTGTGTGGGATAAATCTAAAGCTGTTTGAAGGRGCTGCTATTGATTCCTCCAAAGGCTGTTCACTCCAGATGACTTGGCATTTGGTGGGTACCACACAATAAAGTGATAATGGCCAGAGGTGCACATTGCAGCACCCAGTCCTYAGTCACTGCCCCTGAGCTGTCCACGCCAAGGTTTAAATGCCATCCARACCTCTAACTCTGAAAAGCATCCTGGAAACACTTTTCCATACCTCCCCACTTATGTTCTTACCCTACCTAGATTCCTTCCCAGGCACAAAACAGTGAGATCTCTCACGCTGAGAAAAGGATGAGAAGTCCTATGGGCCCAGTTTGGCTTCTGAGCTAAATGTGTGGTCCACCATGGGCACAAATTGGAAAAACACTTCATGCAGCAGTGAGGAAGTTCATTGGATAGTTCAAGTCAGATCCACCCCTGGCTTCTGCCCTTTTTGCATTGAGGAGATGCTAGCACATTCTCTTCCGTGCTACAGTCCCTCTGACAAAGCTTCTCACTTATATATTTTTATCCTCCTTGTCAAGACCACACCAAGTCTTGAGACTTTCCCATCAACATCCATTAGCCTTGGCCAAAACSGCAATCCACGGACCCTGGAGAAACAAGCTCATCAAGGCCCCATTTTTCATTCCTTRTCCCACCACATCTTTAGGAAGTGCRTCCCTGGCCATCACACACCAGCTCTGTGGGCACTTTCAGGGTGTGCTGAGTACTATTGGGAGTATTGTTCTACCGCCCACTTAGATCCCCTCTATTTTTTTTTTCTTTTCTTTTTTTTTTTCATTTCTATCTTTCATTTCCCTTTCTTTTTCTCATTTGTCATTTACTCTGACTATTGGGTTTTCCCTTTCTCTAATCCACCCTCTCTTTTTCCCTTGGTTTTATAAACAAGAGCAATGTCAAGGTTTGCAGAGGTGGTCTGGTTTCTCCAYAATAGAGAAAATATCAGTGGCCACGGGGGGGCAGGGTTGCTGTCCCCACACATCTCTTGTGTGGCAGTGAGAAGGGACAGCTGGCTCAGCAGCAAAGCCCCATTGCTGCCTTCTCCATCGCACAGGAGAGGGCGATTGCATCCTGCTCTGACACCAAAACACTTCATCGCCAGTGCCACCGCTGCATCACCTCTGCTGCCACCATCCCCACCTCCAGCACTGACCTGTCACCCCTCTCTGCCCCAACACATGGGGGGCTGCAGGAGGACACCACTCCCCACACCTGCAGCCAGACCTCCAGGAGCTCGGGGGTGGGAAGAGCCAGCAGCTGTTTCTGTGATGGGGATGGGCAACCTCGAGCAAAGATAATGCTAATTTCAGTCTCCAAGTCTGCTCTAGAGGAAGTCTGGGAAGCATTGTTAAAATTCACGTTATATTTTTACACGCACACACAAAAACCCGTCCAAATTAAAACTCAAATAGTCTCAGTACAAGATAATGCAGCTTCCAAATAAAAGTTGCTTTTTTGTCACACTGAAAGCATTACTGATGCTGAGAGGGACATCTGTGACTAAAAAAATCCACATCAAATAAGGCAATTTTAGAAAAAAAATGCAATTAGTACTACTTTTTCTTTCTCATAGCTTCAGTTTGTTGGAAACAATGATTCAGAGTTACTGCATCTGTAGCTACTTTTCTTAAATGTATCTTCCTCTGTAGCTACTTCTGTTAAATGTATCACATGCATGGAAATTGTCATGCAGATTTTCCACATAAACAATAAGTGTTTCAAGTATGGAAATCAAGACTACCTCCCTTATCCTAATTCACACAGGCATGCTGCAAAGAATCCTAGACATCCCTAAATCTGTTCTTTAGTGTAACCAGTTCTTTGCATTCTACACAGTCCTGTGGTAACAGGGAGTGAAAAACAGGAAAGGCTTTAATTGCCCTGTATTAAAATGTACTTTGAGCATTATCTGTGAAAGAAAGGGCCTCTAAGAAGACATTGCATACCAGACCAAATGTGCACTGGGTCATAATGGAGCCCTCTTGGTGACATCACTGCTTACAAACTGCTAACATCCTACACCAAATTCACTTATCTGGAGAAAACACTGGCCCCAGCCAGGCCTCACCTCCACAGCACCTCTTGGGTGCAGGATGCTGCCACCGCTTCTGATCTGCCAGCATWAGCCACAACTGATCTACTTACAACACACATCACAATCTGTCTACAAATCAGTGTGACAGAAACCCCTCCCAGTGCCTCCCCTCTAGTTCAACACAAATGTTGTACAAAATAATGTCATTTGACTCCAACCCAAACTCCACTGAGAGTTTAACCAGCTTCATTCAGCAAGCTCCTAGGCCTTAAGAGACCAGTCTCTAAAGTAAGTAGCTGATCTTTTGACCAGAAAATATTAGGCTCTTGTTCTCAGTAACTGAAAATAAAACTGCAGAGGTTAAAGAAACAGAGTTTTTAAATTCCTAGTATAACAATTTCTGACATTGSCATATACTGTGGACTCCAAAACGCTGGAGAAGTGTATTTATGATGAGCTTATTTGGTCTCRGGACACAAACTGTAGCTGTTTCTAGTGTGTATTCTAGATGCATTAAACATGAAGAGATTCAGCATTAAAAATTCTTTCAGCTTTACTGATATAAAAAGAAGAATATACAATTATCTGGAAAATCAAACAATGAAGGCTCCAAAGCTATACAAAAAGCAAAAGAATGAATCCTTAAACATCAAATCACCAGCATTCCCTCACATTACATTTCTCTAGAGAGATGATCTCCACTAACTTCTTCCTGTTTCAAATAAGAAATACCACAAGATTTTAAATGGAAATAGAGCAGAAAGGGAACTGCAGGATTTCCTTGGATCTGTAAGGAAACTCCACTGAGTTTCCACTGAGTTAAGCATTTTGAAATGCTTTTAAACTGAGGTAATCAGAGAGTTACAGGTGTTCACTTTAAAGTATGTTTTGCAAGGTCTTCTTCAGCACCATAATCCATTTTCACAAGTTACAAAGTCTTTATAGATAAATATGTTAGGTCCTGATTCAAATAGAACTGAAATTAATGTTCACTGAAGACAACCATCAGGAAGAATTGAACAATTTACTGAATTAGCTAAAAAAATATAGTTATAGTCTATTAAAGAAAATAAAATATTAGAAGTTTTCAAGAAACACTACTTTAAGTGTGAAGATATATTTTTAAACTCAACCCTTCACATCATGCATCAATAAAATGCAGTGGCTTATTTCAAAACCCAACAAAAGAAAATGGGAAAATTTCTATAGAGAAGGAATTAAACATTTTCATTTCTGGCAAAAAAAATGCTTAGATAAAAGAATAAAGATCATTTCATATAATTTAAGTTTGMAATTACAGTGCAAGATTTTGTCTTTCAGAGTCTGAAGCATAGTCCAACAGCCACTCAATAGCTAAAAATTCCTTAAGTACCCATTCACAGTAATCAGGAGGAAAAATTGGGGATCCAGCTCTTTGCTTCTTCCGACTTTGACAAGTACTGGAGATGAAAGTGTTACTTTCTAGTTTGTTTTAGGGTGTTCTCTTTTTTTTTATTTTTTTCCTTTTTTGAAACTTCAGAAGATAACAGGAATAGCTTGAACAAAAGTTTAAGACTGACAATTACAGCAGARAAATTTGGTGTCTCTGAATTCCCAGAAGCTAAACTAATTCTGGCAGTCACCTCTGGTAACCTGCTCTTCTCCAAGGCACAGACACACATACCCACACACATGCACACACTTTCTCAGCAAAAATAAATAAATGGATTAAAAATACATCTGTGCCTAACATGGTTTAATTCACCCAGTGCCTGTTGACATAATACCGTGATTTGTCAAGGGTCATATCTACCATCTAAAGCCTTACTCTAATGAATAAGATTTCAATACATGGACTGTTACAAGACCATCCCAGAGGTGCAGAAGACAGGACTAAACCCAGTTGTTGCAGCTGACACACTGGAAGCTGGGGACCCAGGCACACTCATTTCCAGATACCCTATAACCCAATTAATACCACTTGCTATCAGTCACTGAGGAAAGAAGCATGGGCACCTCACAGGCTGSAATGAGGGGATTGCAAACCAGGGATATCTTATCTACAGAGGTGCTTTATCTCTCATCTAGCTCTGGCTAGCCTTGCCCCAAGTTACAGAGAGCTGCCGTGGCAGCCCAGCTRTCCTACCTGTCAGCACTGAGGGCGGTGAGGGTGAAGACAGAGACACCAACAGAGGTGAGCTGGATGACAGGGATGAGCTTGCAGCCCACTTCCCCAAAGAGCCACTCCTCAGAGAAATACCGGGAGGCATCCACAGGCACACAGGTCACTAGCAGGAGCAGATCACCAGCAGCGAGACTGGAGATGAAGATGTTGGGCACACTTCTCATGGCGCTGTTGGAAATAAAGATCTTCATGAGGGTGATGTTGCCCAGCAAGCCGACAGTGATGATGAGCAGGTAAAGTGAGGGGATCACACAGCGGATGATGAACATGGCCGTGCCTCTCTCCGGGGACAGTAGAGCTGGGTCGGGCACCAGCTGGACACTTCCATTCTCCCCGAGGGGTATTGCTGTGAACTCGAGCGGGGGCATTGCTGTGAGTTCGGGAGGGGGCTCTAGCTCCATCCTCCAGCTTCGTAGGGACTGAAGGTCTCCAGGTCTTCCAGTGCAGTGGAAGCCACAGGAAAGCTTCACCTCTCTGCAAGTCAACCAACTTTCCCCCCCTTCCCTACTGCCTTTCTTCCTCTCCCTTCTTTGCCGAGCTTTTTTCCTTAAGAAACGCAGAGGAATGTCCGCCGGCGCAATGGCGGGGGAGGGAAATAAACATTTCCGTGCGCTGTCCCTCGGCTCTTCGGACAAGCATTTCCCGGTGAGCAGGTGATCCTGAGCCTCGGGGGCAGAGAAAGCCGTCGGGACAGCATCCACCTGCCCGCGTCCCCGGGTGCGCCCTCGGTGCGCCGCTGCCGCCGCGGCGAARGAGCGCTCCGGCCGCCCCCCCGCTCCCGCCGGGGCCGCGGAGCCGCCAGCGCTGTCCAGCGGCGCCGGTGCTGCCCGGACTGCGGCGCCGGGGGCGGGGGCGAGGCGCAGAACGAGCCCGCTCTTCTCAGCACCGGTTTATACCTGGCACCGGGAGGGGCCGCCCCGCCCCGCCCCTCCTTCTGCGAGCGCCTGTGCTCTCACCCCAGCCCCGYTCCGCCAAGGCGCATCCTGCGGTGAAGGGAGAGGCGGATCCCGGAGCCGCCGCCGTCCCTCGGGGCCCTAGACCTTGAGCGCGATGGGGGTGACGGGGGAAGCGGAAAAGGCGAGGGAAGCCTCTCTCCCCGCCGCTGCCCCCCGCAAAGCAGCCCCCGCCTGGCTCTGCCCGGCAAACCGGAGAGCTGTCCGCCACGTCGGGCAGAACGCAGGATCGTCTCCGGGAACCTCTCTTCAGCATCTTCCCCAGGTGAAATCACAGTGCTTTGAAATGCAGCGTGGCGGGGAGCTAGTGGCTTGAGACTGARGAGATTTTATTCCTGACATCCAGCTGTGGGTTCTGCATAGACCCTACTCAAAGACATCAGTTGTGTTTAAAGTTTTAAGGTTTGATTAATGAAGCTACATTTCATAGTGATCTCAACTATGGAAAGGGGGACAGGTGATGTGTTTTGTCCACGACTTACTCTGCAAATGGTATAACACAGTGAAGAATTAATGTTGTCTGCCTCTTTGAAGAGTAGCATTTGTCCCTAATGTTTCCTGCTTTTCAGTGAGATAATGTCTTTTACTTCGGAGCGACTGCACATGTTTTCCAAACAGCTCCATCTGTTTCCAGCAGAAGCCATAAATGTAGGTGGCCTTGTAAATATGCTGAAAGACAGGCAGACACACTGAACTGAAGTTTTCAAGATAAAATGTTAAGGCAGAAGAATAACAGCACTTGCCAGTAAGATGCTGTGCAGACTGACTCCTATATTAYGTTTTTCTCAAAAGGGAGGATGCATGAGATGGTAGAGAATTTGCTTGTTCATATTTACTACAACAGTTCTCTTGAAGCTCTGTGGGTTTGTGACAGGTCTATGGAGAGCCTGACCACTGGAATATCTGAAGCAAAGCATGTCACATGTGCTTGGCTGATCTATGGCATGCTGTCTAGTGTAGGAATTAAATCAGTGATTTTTCTTAAATAAACTTTTACTAAGATTATCAAAGAAAAAGAATTAGCATTTTTTTAAAATTACACTTCTCTGTATCTATTCCTTGATTGCCGTGACTCTTCTCACATCCCTGAATATACAAATGTATTAAAGTTGTGAAAATTACTGATTCRTGAAATGCTGAATAATTTCTTAGAACCCAGCTATGGCAAGGCCTCAGAAAGAATCAGGTTAGGGACTTCACCTTTACCACTAGGCAGTTCATCAGAACCATCAGAGATCCTCTGGAGGTGATCCTTGTTACTGGTCATTTTCTCTACACAATGTCAAACTCAACTATGTTCCATCTGAAGCAGCCTTACTGATGGCTTAAATATTTATCTTAATTGCTGTGACCCTCTACTTTGCTGAGCTTATATGAAATTTTCTAAGACCAACAACAGCTTCTGGGAACACTCCAAGTCAGTCTTTTTGGTTCCCATTGGCTGGATCYTGTATAAGTCTTTAACACTGTGAGYTAAAATTTAACACTGAGAGTACAATCCTTTTGCTAGTTTGTTTGAAAATGGGCTTATATGTGAACAAACAATACAATTCCCATTGGGAAAATAGATTAAATTCAACATGTCTTTAATATTGATTTTTCTGGTGCAAGAGGAAGTTGAGACTTTTTACATGAATATCAACAAGATAACACTRAAACTTCTATTGGTATAAATTTATTGCAGTTTGCATAGAGGTGAGACCCTTTGCTTTTTTGTTGCATGACACCACCAATCCTACTGCTGAGTTCCAGAAGAATTTCTTCTATCCTAGCGAATTTTCTCAGTCCTTTCGTGCACAGGATGTAAATCCTAAGGTTGAGGGATTAGAAACATTTTCAGTGAGAATTTACATTCCTCATTTTTATTAGTACTTGATTTTATCTACCCCATATTTTTCAGAACTCTGAACAACAAGGAAATAAGCCTTGAAGAGAGTGTCTCCAGCTCAGGGAAAACAGAAATTTAGATTATGTTTCTCATATTGTTCAACAGATGCTTGTGCAGAGACAGTGCAATAYACTCAAATAGTACGAATGTAATTTCCTGCAGAGGTGAAATGAAGGTGGGCAAGATCCACAGACCTTGACATAAACCAGTTGGAACCCAGAGCTCCACATCAAAACTGTTCATCCTTCTCTTTCCAAATAAAAGACATGTCTTTAGATGTTATTTAGATTACAGCCTAGTTAGACAATTTCACCCTGCAGCTGTGACACAGTGCTTGGCACAAGAGTGAGAGTGAGAGCACCACAGGTAAATCTCCCCCATGGGAAAGAAACTGCACAGGCACACTCAGCCACCACAGATGGAGTGCATCCGARACTGCAACACCGTAGGGCAGAAACCACAACAACTTGGAAATGTGAGAGGCAAATCTCCATTTTATCAGTAATTCCCAAAAGTAAGAACTCATAACCAGCTCCTGCAGCAATGAGGAGCTCCACACACCTCATAAACGACCTCTGCCGAGAAGTGGGTCTGACAGGAAAAAACACCCTTTTCATGTGTTTGTGCAGCTCAAGGGACTTGATAATTCCAGGTCTAATTCTAGATTTGCACATCACAATATGTRCAGTTCCATGCAGAGCCAAGCACATCAGCCACCAAAACTACCTGCAGTAAGCAGCCTTTAATTAAGCATCAGCACGTGAAATGAAAACTGGATTCAAATGGGGCCCTGGAAGTGATCATGTTTGAAGGCCTGGTCATCAGTCAAATATTAAAAACAACCAAGGCAACAACCAAGGAAAAATAMTACTTTATTTTAAACACTGAATATTAAGACCCAAACTTCCAATAAAATTTGTAGTATCACACATTAGACCAGTAGATACAGCTGGAAAAGTGGGCATTGTAGCAGAGTGACTTCTTCCAGACAGTCAAATGTACATTAACCTTAAGTAACTCATGTTTTCTTTCTTGTTACTTCAATAGAGGCTTTCTTATTTTGATGGAGGGAACTCTGCAAGCCAAAATGGAAATTWAGATGCTTCCAGCAGGAGACAAAGATGAAGTTGTTGTCAGAAGTGGCATTTTCCAATATTTAGGTAAGAAAGCTCCCTTTTGGCAAATAAAACCTTATCTAACAGATACTAATGCAATTTTTTATACCATTTTCATGGTGCTGGTTTTATTCACATCACAAGTTTAATAGATGCCATTACATTTAACCACATCAATAAAGTAATGAATTGGGTGCTTAATGTTAAACATGCAGCTCATCCCTCTAAGCACAACTGYAGCTTTATGCATGCATTTAGATTCTATTTGTTTTACTCTGATTATTCAGTAGGACTTCAATTGATTAAAAGGTTAAAGAGCACACCGCTGAGCTGCAAACTGGAGTCAAAAGCCAGACTTCAGACTCACTTAGAAACAAAYGTGATATCAACATCTTCCATCCCATTTGCCCACGATAGACAACTAACTGACAGCTGCCCTTACAGATTCAAAACAAATAATGATCTTCTGTCAAGCGAGTCTCAAGGAATGCCTCGAGTTCCCTTGGCAGACTGCACTCAAAAGGACTGCACAATGCCAGCTACTCTACTTCCCTCTCGAGTTATCCTCCTAACACAAATGCACATAACAAAAGAAAAACATTGCTATTAGCTCCTCCTAGTGCGAAGATAATGGGATTCCCGTGCTTGAGCTCACATGACACTGGAGCCACTTCAGGGAAAGTGACAATCTTATTGTGGGTCCATTCATCACACTCAGTGGGATTTCCCTGCAGGCACCCATGGGGTTTGTATTTGGTTTATCTGACAACCTCTCCAGAAATCATGGGCTTTTTGTATTCCGACGCAGCTGTATTCCTTATGTGTTCCTAGAACAAATCAGAACATTGCCASCTAAATCTTCATTTAGCACTTTTATCACAGAACAGAAATTCAAGTTTCTGTATTTTTACTGAGGTTGATTATTGACTGTCTTATATGAGATAATCCAGTCAGRTAAGTAATCATGTGACTCTCACCTAAAAATAAAAAAGATACAAAACATCATTTGTATGGTGCCGATTTTTACCTAAAATGTGTTCTGAAACATTGTTTCTATCTATAGTGGAATCAGATGCTGATCAAACTTCATGGGCTGGTGTTCATGAATTAATGTGCAAATAATTGCTACTCTATGAAGTGTAATAAAAACAAGGAGTTGTTTGGTTTTCCTATCGTGTTTTTAAACATTTCTGCTTAAAGAGATCCTAATAATACAAAWACAACTATATTTTGAAGTACATTCAACAGCAGGTTTTCAATGGGCAATACACATTTTAAAATAATTAAATGACTGAAATAATACTGATATTAAACACCTGTCCAGCATGCTGAACTAATTTAGTCAATTTGTAGTACTGTGGGAACTCCRAAATTGCTTTTGAATGATAATTAAGCTCCATATGTATTCTGTATTGAAAAACTATTCACTGTAATCACAATCACTGTGTTTTGGTGAAGGTTAGCCACACATCCTGAGAACCACAATACTTTACTGCAGGTCACACACCACTGYGAGACATTATTGCTTTTTGCTCGTTCAACATACACAAACCTCAGCGTTCTCTCTATGCAGCAGAGCAGTAGATTGCATTAAAATAATTTGGAAACCCAGTCTGACTGCCACTGRTACAGCACCTTTAACAGTACTTCAGGAGATCAACAGACATTTAATTAACTGCCTGAACTAGGAGCTGTAGCAAATAACATGCACTTACTGGGGCAATTTCACCTTCTTTGTAATTTAGCTACTTCAGTAGGTACAGTGCAGGTTCCCCTAGCAAAGGGTGTGCTGATGTTTGCAACAGTTATTTCAACCATGTCATTATTACAGTCATTGAGGCACCTTTTAGAGACACAACAGCTAAATYCAGACATAAGATGAACCCCAGTTCCCCTCTCATTCCTTCTGCCTGTTTCCATGCCTATGAGCATACATGRCAGAGGGAACAATGGTTTTTGTTACATCAGTGCTGCAGCCAGTTACAAGGGATGCTCTCTTGAGTTTAGAGGCAAAAGAGTACCTGCCCCTCTCTGGATTTGGTAACTGGATTTCACTTTCCTGTGCACGCCAAATAAACTACTGCACACCAATGAATGAACGACAAATTAGCATTTCCCCTTTAGCTGGTTTCCCATCTCCATCCTTTCTCTCTCCATCTTCTCATAAAACTCCCACTGGGTTCAAACTACGRAGCAGAAGTACTTCCTTGCGGCTATTTACCAACAGGAGTTTCTGGCACATGTATGGACTCGCATGCACAGCTCTTCTGGAGCTCCTTCAACTGCACAAACTGACTGTGCTGGCAAATTATTAATAGCAATTATTGCCATTAAGTTATTTGTAGCAATTTTGAAATGGTTAMTATAATTTGTTTTAATTCAATTGCTGTTTCTTTGAATTCAGAATTGTGGATCTACAGTTCCCAAGTCCTGTTGCATCCTTTTTTAATTGGATTTAGTTAAAAAGATGTTAACAAGCTCTAGATGCTCCGGCTAGCCGGGTCCCGGCTATTCCCGCTGGCGGCAGCCCCGAGAGCTCTGCGCGGGGGCTTTAACCGGTACGAGRAAGGGCACCCGGGGCGAGGAGCGGCTCTGGAGCCGGACGGGGGTGATGCTCGGTACAGCGGGCACCCCGGGGCGGCGGCAAAAGGCCGGCGTGGGGCAGCGGGGCCGGGGCAGATGCTCAGCCGGCGGCGGGGCGGCGGTGCTGACGGTGCTRCCCGRGGATTACCGCCGGGCGCCGGCCGARSCCGCTTTTGCTGCGCTCGCTGTCGGCCCGATCCCGGGGGCCCTCCCGGGGACAGAGGGCGGAGCGAGCCGGGGCCGGGGCCAGGGCGGGCTYCGGCTCCGGCCACCGCCGCCGCCCTCACAGGGCACCTTCCCCAGCCATGTCCCCCAACTACATCCGGAGCTTCTCGGAGGGATGTGTGAGTACGCGGGGCGCGCCCCTTTGGCCCCGACCGGAGCCGGGGTCCGGCCCCAAATCGCGCAGGGCTCCGCCGCGCCCCCGCCCCCGCGCACGGGCCAGAGGTGCCGCCCGCCCGCCCTGCCCGGCCCCAGCACGGCGGGGCAGGCGGCCGGAGCGGGGCTACAAATGCTCCTTTGGGGAAGCTGAACTTTAATTTGCGGGAATAAGTGTGGTTCTAAGCATGATGAGGTTTGATGGTGGCACTGCCGYTCGTGCTTTGCCATCACCTGACATCATGTGAATGAATCAGTGCAACAGCAAAACGAATAGACGCTGGGTCGAAGCGCTCAGCTCCGTCTGGCGCCTTCTGCAGCAGCGGAATACAGATAAAGGCAGTGAAACAAATGAACTGGCAAGTGCTAGACAAACTAACGTTTATATAAAGTTAGTAGGAACAATAAAGTGTTCTAAGACATTATTTTGTTAGAGAGCTACTGCAGCCTTCATAGGCAAACTCTCTCTTTTCAAGCCAAGTAGAATAAAATAAATATTTTGAATAATGAAAAAGAGCAAGTAGACCTCCAACAATAACACTTCTCATTTTTGTTTTTTTGTGTTGAATGAACCCTCTGATTTGCAGCTCAGGCCGCCAACAGTAATTGGGCAATTCCACACTCTTTTTTTTGGCTCAATTCGAATGTTTTTCCTTGGTGTTTTGGGCTTTGCTGTTTATGGAAATGAGGCCTTACATTTCAGCTGTGACCCAGACAAGAGAGAGGTTAATCTTTTCTGTTACAACCAGTTCAGGCCTATAACTCCTCAGGTAACTATCTTTTTCTGTTATTTTTTTCATTGTAAAAATCCAATGTTACACATGATTGTTCCATATAAGTTATAACTGACTAGGCTAATGATCACTAGTTTTTTTTTTTTTTATTAATATTTTCCTTTTAATCTCTCTGTATCTGTGACGAAATATCGAGATGAGTCTCCTGTCCTTCAAAAAATCCTCATGTTTCAGAAACCAACTAAACTTTTCAAATCAAAACTGCTTTTTACCATTATTGTTATCTTAAGTTTTTATACATGTGATATATATTAAAAAAAAGACTTGCAAAATGTTCCAATATGCATGTGTTTYAGTTGTCCCAGTGTGGTTGTAAATGATTTGACAGGTACATTTCTGCTACATTTTAGGTATTCTGGGCATTACAGCTGGTGATTGTACTTGTACCTGGAGCCTTTTTTCACCTTTATGCTGCTTGTAAGAGCATCAAGCAGGAAGACATTCTCCAAAAGTCATCCTACACTGGCTTTTACATCTTCTCTGTTTTCTTAAGRATTGTTCTTGAAGTTGTGGCCTTTTGGCTTCAGATTCAGCTCTTTGGTTTCAAAGTGAACGCAATCTACATGTGTGATGTGGGAGCGCTTGAAAAAACGTTTAACATTACCCGGTGCATGGTGCCAGAGCACTTTGAAAAGACAATTTTTCTTATTGCAATGTACACATTTACTGTGATTACAGTGATCTTGTGTGTTGCTGAAATTTTTGAGATCTCATGTAGAAGGCTAGGTTTCTTAAAAACTCAGTGATGTCAACCACTCATRCTCATTTACTGCCCTGTCCACCCGCAGTTTTGTAACAATGGTTTCAAACCATAACAAAAAACATGTCCTGTCATCTGGGCAGTGTTGCAAGAGAACCACACTCATGATTACTGTGGCAGAATAGTCATCTGACATAAACTCCTAATCTAAAAACTTGCACACTGARAGAATAATCTTTGTTTCCATGTTAAGGCCAAAGGCATTAAGATTTCCAAGAGCAATATATTTTCAAGACCTGCCACATACAATAGCTCTGCCTCCTGTGGTGAAGAGAAGGTTATTTATAAACATACTTCTACTCACAGMTCTTCTGAACACATGCCATCGGAGCTATAAAGGTCATCGACCTTCCAGGAAAAACTATTCGAAATTTCTTACATTTTCTTATGACCTGAGAATTGAGCAATAATGGTACCAGAAAGCATTYGAGCCCCTTTCCAAGCAGTGCCACTGCTGCAACATCCATCTCACCCCCGGGGCAGAGACTCCTGGTTAGGCTGTGGTGGCAACACATCCATGGATATCAGCTTACTTTGCAGCGGCTCAGCTACAATCACCTGCTCACTCAGAATCTCCTTTYAAAAAGGCAAGAGTAGCATGGTATTCTTTGTGCTGACTGCAATGCCTTACCCTCATTATGCTCAGGCTTACCATGTAGAAGATTTTTACCAACTTAGTATGATCACATTTTGAAGGAGTAAAAGGGCTTTTTGACAATTTTGCATAAGAGGCTTAAAAGTGTCAAAATAAAATCTCAGAGAAAAGCCTTTCCTGGGCCCAATCGTGMCTTGATTTCAGTGAGGTTTGCTTGTGTGTGATTGCAGAATTGGGCCCACARAATTCTCTGCTGTTTGTATCTAACTTGTTGCTCTGACTAAAGTTGCTAGAATAACAGTGAAAAAAGAAGTCTGCATATTAAAGTTAYACTATGCAGTAACTATATTTGGTTAGGTTAGATCTCAAACTTTATATAGGTATCAGATGTTTATGTGTGCAGAAGTTTCTTCTTAAGGGCTAATAATTTAGAAGTGATTTCCTTGTGATGAAATGAGATAATGGAAATAAAACACATTTCAAAATCAGAAAGAAAACATAGTTTCCTATATAAAAATGTACTAATAGCAATAACAACAAWTAGCCATTTTCCTTTTGTTTTTCAAACATAAAAAGTTGAGATCTTGATAACAGCATTTGGGACTTTTCAAGAATATTTGGAAAAATCTGCAAAAATTCTTGCCAAATGTTTTATCACCAACCGTCAGTTAAGCACTCCCAAACACCATTGGGTTATCATAGCCATGTAATTCTCACTCACAAAAATAATCCTTATTACATGAATGGAATTAGAAGATTTAGGTGTTTTGGATTTGGTTGAATCTGGGCTTTTAAAAACAAAATGGGCTATAATTAGATATGTGATTTTTTAAATATGCTGATTGAGAACAAGATGACATATTTCAATAATGTGGTACATTAAAGCACTAATATTATTTTTCCCCCCTGTGGAAATAAGTTTTATGTTGTCTTAAATAACCGTCCAGTCAAAACCATCAGATTTATGCAATTTAAACTAGTTACTAGAYATTTGCAAGCATTGCAAGTGGAATAAAAATCACTGTGCTAACTTATTGTTTGCATAATATGCCATGTGTTTKGGTTGATACATGTTTCATTTTTCCCTGTATATGTCAATATTCATCTGGAATTATTCTTTCCAATTAAAAATTGTAATCTCAGGTAAAAAATATTTTTATTTCTAAAAAAAAAACAGTATATAGAACTACTAAGGAAARTAGTTTACTTTCCTGTGCTAGGTACAGTTGTTACCAATGGTACGCAAATCACGCTTACCTGAATATTTGTATAATAATGAAATAACTTAATCACAACCTCATCAGTCTTTTCCCTGGTGCTTCCTATTGTCATTGCTTGCTGTTCTTCTGTAAATTTCCAAATACTTCAGAAGGGTCAGAGAGTGCCAAAAACCCCCAAGCCCTCAGGACTTCCTTGTTACCATCAAGAGCCTTGAAGAATAGGACTGCCCAAGGATCCCTGGGAGTGCTTTAGGAGCTGGATTACCCACCACCATGCCTTTTCCCCTCGTGGTCAAATTCTGGAACATATTAAAAAGTTTCCTTCTTCCAAATGAGATACACTGAGTTTTTTCCAGGCATTTCCATTTCCTGTGGAATTAAAATTGTCAAATTCCTCAG